GACTACAATTATCTCCATTTCCTCTTAATGAAGGTACTAGGGTGATAGCTGGGAACCATTAAGAATGAATGGTGCATTTTATAGTTGGAACACCATTCTCTTTCTGTTTTGTTTTGTTTTGTTTCTCATACCGGGGATTAAACCTAGGGTCTCACCCATACTATAAGAGTATTCTGCTACTGAGCTCCATTCCTAGCTTTAGTTTGCATTTGTTTGTTTTTCTTTTCTTTTTTTCATTTTGATACAGGGTCTCAGGAAGTTGCCCAAGCTGGCCTTGAGTTCACTCCATTTCTTTCTCAGGCCTTGAACTTATTGTCTTCCTGCCTTAGCCACCTGAGTGTCTGGAATTGTATGTCTGAGCCATCGGGCTTAGCTGTGTTCATGTTCTGTGTTCCATCATGACTCCGGAGTAGTCTTTTAACTTGGCCTATGATGGCCTTCTATTCCTTAGTTGAGGTCAATGACATCAACAGCCATTTCAGAGGTGGAAAACAGCAAACAAAATTGTTTTAGCTATTTATATCACTCATCGCAGTGCTAACAGTTTTAAGCAAAGAATACTTTCTCAACAGAAGCATGACTGGCATTTTAGGTCGAGTGATTCTATGCAGCATAGGGTTGCCTGGTTCACATGACAAAGATGTGCAATGCTCCTTTGGCATCCAGATAGTCACTGGCTGCAGACCTCCCCTCCCAGTAAGTACTAGTCTATGAATAAGGCAGTTTAAAACATCAAAATTAAAATAAAAAAATCCTAATGAAGCTGGGGGGTGTTGGCACATGCCTTTAATCCCAGCACTCTCTGTGAGTTCAAGGCCAGTCTGGTCTACAGAGCTAGTTCCAGGACAACTAGGACTGTTACACAGAGAAACCCTGTCTCAAAGAAAATACTGCTGAACAAAATACCAAAATTCTAAAGATTAGGGGGAAAATCAATACTGCTAAGCCTTTCACCTCAGGCTTAGTGTAAATCACATGGCACAGTTACTGATCCTATCATCATTTTAAAATGTTACTTTGTTAAACATGACATTTTTGCAATAACTTAAATACTCTATAACAAATGCTGTCAAGCATGATTGCTAAATTTGGAGCTTCCCTTCAATGGAGAACCCAAGACAAGTAGCTCTTTCACCTTGCCCTAATCCAACCTTATTCCTTAAGCTTTGTGGCAAACCAGAACACCTCCACCACATTTCCAAATGCCTGTATAGACTGAGAACTCCTGAAATAGAAGCTGATTTTTCGCACGTAAGAAGTCTAGAGAAAGTCAGCCTGGGCCTGAAGTGGTATCTCTATTGTGCCCAAAGGGATGAAGGGCCCATTTATCTCTACTGTGTTCAGAGGATGGCTACCAGAGCTGAAGAATTATGTACTAATTACAGAGAAGAAAATAGAGGATAAACAGGAAAATCACTCCAGCTGAACCTGACTTTTTACGTTAGAAAACATAACTGTCCAAGGAGCCCACCCAATAAAGCTTAACACATATCATTAGCCAAAGTATAATATATATCATTAACTGGAAGTGAATTGCATAGACAGCCCTAGCTACAAGAAGCTGGGAAATGAGCAGTTTTAAATAGGCACATTTCCAGCCTGAATAAAGCTGATAGTCCACCTGGAAAAAAATATGTGCAAATGAATGAAGGGTGACTGGCAAGATGTGTTCACTGCAAAGACCATGCAGGATAGCACATACTGGCTATTTTGGGTGACTGCAAATATAACTTTCTCTGTTAGTCAGGTGATGGTTATCTAACCAGAGTATTTTAATCATCACTTTTAGAATCACAGATATAAACTGTAATATTATCCTAGGCTGAGACTGACAAAAGTGGAGCCCGAAACAGGGTAGGCACACATGATTTATCTTGAGAGAATTTTGTAAGAAAACGACAGCAGTAGCAGAGGAAAGGGAAATAAGCAAAACAAGCATGTATTCACAGATCAGGTTAAACACTGGTCTGGTGCCCAAGGGAGCCTGGATCACTGCATAGAGTTTTCTTGCCTTGAGGGAACGAAGCATAGCCCCTTGACTTTGGTTAATCTTGTCAGCGTCTAAAGAAGGGCTGGAATATGTATGGGTTTTTCAACTTCCATCAGCCAGGGGCAAATCTCCAGAGAGGATTACAAGTATGAGCTGCTTAGAAAGACAGTCACCAAAGCTAAAAAATGGAAACACACCCCCTAATGTGGAACTGGGTGATCATCAGTAACATTTACTACGGATACTCATTTGGATATGGTCTTCAAAGAATCGCCTTCATTTTTATTTTGCATTACTTGAAAGTATAACCTTACATACATCCCTGGGATTAGAGGTATTGGGAAAGCTGGCTACAAGTTGAAAGTGTCTCATTTGAAGAAACCAAATAATTAACAGGTGTTGACTTGTTTTGCTGAAGCACCAATGGAGGAAACACATTATGATTTGTTCTGGGTATTAATTAGAATCTGCCGTGTTGCTCACAATCTTGTCAGGGCACATAATATCTCATAGTCTTAGGGTCTAATTTAAAGCTTAATGAATATTTAGTTCATGTTGACCAACAAAATAAGCAAAAGAATTATGTTGCATTTAGTCATATCTGAAATGAGCAAGCTCTTCATCTTCTTAAGCAGTCTGAGGCTAATATAATTCACCTTCATGAAATAGTCTACATAATTTTATAAGTTCTTAAAGGGCTGCAAAGTCTTCTTGAATGGCATATATTAAATATTGAGAAAAATGAAACAGTGAATTTTCAAAATTACATGCAAGAGAATGTAATATTAGTTTTTCCATAGTGAATTAAAAATATCAAAAATCTCTTTTTTACTTAAAAAGTAAAAATAAAATCTTTCTTTGGTCCTTGCATATTAAATATTCTATAAAATGCAGAATTACAGGAATCCATGCATAATTGCTCCAAGTTCAGAAATTGTTTTCAAGCTCTAAGTCCAACATAGAGCCAGACATGGAAAAACAGTTTTGTAAAGAAATATTGACCCATGTTGAAAATGGAGTCACTTTCCCAGGAAAAGAAGCTTCCCTGTGGTCTGTTAGACCTGGGCTTTGAATAATATGTACTTTAATTGATGTACCATATTACAGATGTCTTGGGAATGTATCACTTCTACTATAATTCAGGACATTGTCAACCAACCCATGCTAAAACCTACTGAATAAATCACCTGATAAATTGAGCATACTGTAATTTGAATTCTTTATCTGGTCCTGAACTGTTTTCTTTTTAATTTCTAAGGCTGATAAAAATAACAGATTCCTCTTAGAGAACAACACATGAATCTATAATTGAGGATTGTTGCAAACATGGCACGTCCATATGTCACCCTATAGAAAATAACTGCTCACCTTGGATTTCTTTCTTTGATCTTTGTCCCTGCTGTAGATACTAAAAGGTTGGGGCTCTAGTCAGTGGTAGACTGCTTGCCTAACAAGTTTGAGAGCCTGGGTTCAATGCCCAGTATTAGAGCGAGCGAGAGAGAAATAGAAGACACAAAACTGACCTCTCCTTTCTCAACTATTGGTTGGATATCTGTGTCTATTCTTTGCAAACATATACATTAAAAATTCATAAGCCAGGTGTAATGTAATATGTAATCCCATCACTCAGAGGACAGAGGCAGGAGGATCAGGAGTACAAAGCCAGTCTTGGCCATGTAAATGACTTTGAGGCCATCTTAGACTCCATGAGATCCCCATCTGAAACAAAACTTCAGACTCTTGCCTAATACAGCATTTCTTCCATTTACTAAACAATTCTCATCATCTCACACTATGGTACTTAGGGGTGGAGAACCACAATCAGCGTGCAGCAAAAGAAAGTATTTTTTTCAATTGCTATTTAATGCCACATTTAGAACATACAAAAGTAATTAATGCCAATTCACTAGGCAAAAGAGACACAGTGACCTAACCCTTAGCATCTCTAGAAAGATAGATTATCCTGTACAGAGAAAAAGATGGGGTGAAGGTTGATTAAGTATTAGTTGGGAAAAATAAGCGTTTGATATCTTGCAACAAAAACACCCTGTCTGAAACAACAAAGGATAATATTTCTTTGTTTAGCATAGATGTGTGTGTGTGTGTGTGTGTGTGTGTGTGTGTGTGTGTGTGTGTGTGGCTAGCCAGGAAGTAACCTTGGTTAAAGGATACAAAATTAAAGTTGGACAGAAAAGAATAAGTTCCATGGCACATCAAGAGGAGATTTTAAGTATTCTTAGCTGGGCATAGTGGCTCACACCTCTGATCCAGCACTTTGGAGGTAAAGGCAGGCCAACCTGGCCTACCTGGTGTTCAAGGCCAATCTAGCCTACACGGTTAGTTCTAGGCCAGTTGGAACTACATAGTAATACTTTGTCTTTAGGAACAAAATAAAAAACAAAAACAACTGCTCACCACAGAAAATACTGGAGTGATACATGTTAATTTGCTTGATTCAGCCATTGCACATGTGTATATATATATATATTTCAAAACCACATATTTTACATCCTAAATATAGAATCATTATTTGTTATCAGCAGAGAATGTGTTCCAGAGATTCACAAGGATGTTGGAGTCCATTACATAAATAGTGTAATATTGGCATAAAACCTCCATACAGACTCTAGTTATTCAAACTTATCTCTGGATGACCTATGATACCTTGTGCAATATAATGCTATGTAAGCAGTTACCAAAGGAGATTGGTGAGAGAATAACACCAAACAAAAAATCTATACATATTCAGCACAGATGTACCCGACGCCAAATAGTTTGGATTGCAAGTTGGTTGCTGACACAGAGGGCCAATTGCACACATTTCTATTTATCAACTTGCAAAAAATAAATTGGTAGAAATATTATGCACAAATGCAGTATATATAAAAAGCCAAAATTAAAACCTTAATATATATTATAATATATATTATATATATAATATGTGTGTGTAGCTTATTTTCTCACATCCACATGTGAAACTTGAAAGTCTCTCCAATGTCATGTGACTTACCTGCTTATCAAAAGCTGCCCAGGATGGTGCATCGGCTCCATCTCCTTTCGGAAACACAGTGTTTTTAGGCTTTATCTTTTGTCCAGGTAGCGGGTCTCCACCTATTCCAGGCTTCTCATCACTCACCAGCATCCTGACATTGTTACAAAAGCCCCAGTGTTGGGATTTATGAAACTTCTCCTTTCCCAACTGTGAATACAAAAGACAATAATAAAAATGTGCCAAAGTTATGATTTTTGATTTTTCTTACAGTAAGGGGTTTCCCAATATAAATACATTTTCCCTTGTTTATTTTCCATCACAAAATGCATATGAAGTGTCAAGTAACTGAGAAATTTCTATCCATAAAATTGTGTCACATTTTAAATTAGGTTTATTTTAACTACTTTAAAACTTTGAAAAGCAGTAAAAAAAAAAAAAAAGCTATGTACAATATTTCCAAATAAAGATTACTGCAAGAGAACATTCAGAACAGTGGTTTGCTAATTGGCCTGTTTTACTTATTTGTAAATAATGCAAGGCAGAAAAACTTCTTTACTTCAGAAAAGAAAGACACTGTTTTCCATAGAAGCCTAAGAATTACATTCACCAAAACAGAAAACGAAAGCGTGTCCTTATCAACAGTAAAAAGGGGAAATTCCTCACAATTTCAACTGTGAGACCTTGCTTCCCACTGTGTCTGGTGATGCAGACAGAGAATCCACAAGAGATGCCAGGGGGTGAGAAAGATGAGGGCCAGATTCAGTCGACAAGTGTTGCGAGTGACAAAGTCGAAGACCACCAATGGAAATACAGAGGTAGCAATCCCCAGCAAGCTGAAGTGTATGTAGGTTCCATGGCCTGGCAAGGCCTCTCCCGGAGAGTCTCTTGTCAATAAACATAGCATATGCCCTTCAATGTTATAAGAATGATAAATGGCAACAATGCCAGTGCCTGGCAGTTGTATAAAAGATACCTCAATTGTGTTGTTTGATACTAAAAGTCTACAATAATCTGTATGTTGATATGGTCAAGTGCTAAAATATGTCACGCACACACCCAGTTGGCAATTAGTGAAGGGCTCTTATGAGACTTTTCCTGGGGAGATACACAGAGACATTTATTTTCCTGGACAGGGCACTGACAGGCCAAAGAAATTTATCTGTCTAAGTCCATCTTGATGAAGCAATCAGTTTGTTGGGGTTACATATAAGAGTATGGTGACTCCTGAGCAGCTGCATCTCCAAAAAGGCCCACCCTGATAGGAGCAACGCCCCATGGAAGCTGCATCCCTGGAGCGGAGGCTTTCCCACAGTCAGCCTTCATTTCCCAAACATCCAGTCCTCTAGCATTCCCTCAGGCCACAAGCTGCACTGTGGAGGCACGATTATATGCAGCTGTGGGGATCAGGAAGGCTAGAATGGTTGGAATTGCACGTGTAGGTCTCTCATCCCATCCTGCACCTCATTAAGAAGAACTGTTAATAGACCAGATCTTCTGAGGGTCTCTGCTGGTAAGCAGTGCCTCTCTGATTTCAAGACAAAAATGGCCATGCCATTACCAGAGGGCAGAATTCTGCAACAAGAGCACATAAAAAGTGATACTTACACATATACGGACACTTGAAAAAAAAACTAAAAATTATAGCATTAACTATGGATAATATAGGCACAGAAATGATATGCAAAAATTCATAATTAATATCCGCAATAATATGCAAAACAATCATTTGTGCTATAAAATAAATGTCCACATGTAACATGACTTTATATAAACAACAGACATTTCAAGAGCAATTAATTAAAGCTCCATGTGAGTTCCTGGCCTTTGTCAGGGCAGTAGATAGGGATCAAAAGAACCTTATTTTTATTATAGTGCAGATAGCTTGGGATAAGTTAGAAGGGTCTGGGCAGTCCTCCTACAAAGGGAACCAAGAACCATGACAGCTGCCCAGAGAAGGTAACATCTCAGCTTTAAGGCTGGGGGAGGAAACTTATGAACAATAATGATTCAGATTGTTACCTACATGTATGCAGCCTGGCTCTGTTCTTTAGAAAAATCAACTGCCAACACCTCTATCATACCTCCTCCATCACAACACATTCACAACTACACAACCAGGTTATATCAAGTCAGTCCCAAGTCAGCAAAGAGCCAGGAAGAAACTGTGCTTGTATAAAGGAGGGGTAGAAGAGTAGACTTTCGTAGCAATGTTCCTCTTTTGAAGCATTCTTTTCAAGGCACCATGTCACCATTGACAGCACACTATTTTTTGTTGTTGCTGTTCTTTGTTTGCTTTTTGTGGAGAGATGTTTGGTTGTGTTTTGGATTAGTTCTGAGACAAAATCTGCCCCAAGATTTACTGTCTCACTTCCTGTATCAAAACCATTATTAGATCAGTCTCATTACTATAGCTTTCCCTGGAGAAAATCACGCAGAAAGGAACAGACTCCAGCTTGCACAGTAACGTGATATCAGCACCTGAGTTTACATTCATGTAGCATTCTACTTTGGAAAGCTTGCCTAGCCACAACTGAATATTGTTGGGCTGAAGTAGTAGGGTTGAGGTTCTATGAATAACTGGCTGTTGCTCTGGGGTCAGAGGATGAGATGGATCAGACAAAGAAGAGGCAGGAAGATATTCCCATCAGGACTGACAGTTCTCAGTGTGAGGACCAATAGATGAGAAATTTAGTAAAAAAGCCAAGTTCAAGTTTGAAAGGAAGGTACACTACAGTAGAATATCTAAGATGGTCCATAATATGGAAAGACATACACTGAAATACCTTAATAGTTCCTTTCTCTAGGCTGCTGAACTAGTCAATGAACCAGATTCTATACTTAGTAATATACCATAAAAATTAAGTCACAGTCAATCTCCTATCCCCTGGAGGGATTTCCCAATCACTCATAAGCTCCTTTATTGATCCTGGTTTCCACAATCCAAAAAGCCCTTGACATTGTTTGGAAGGCATATATGTGCGTGTGTGTGTGTGTGTGTGTGTGTGTGTGTGTGTGTGTAAACAGAGACTGCACTTTGCTTCCCCAGGTGCCCAGACCTGAATAATCACACAGAAACTGTGTGGTTAATGACTTAGGCATATTTCTAACTAGCTCTTATATCTTCTGGCATCTGTCCCCTTCAGCAGCTACATGGCATCTCCCCTGACTCTGCCTTATTTCTCCCTGCATTCAGCTTAGTTTTCCTTGCCTAGTTATATTCTGCTCTGCCATAAGCCAAAGCAGTTTTTTTATTAACCAATGGTAATAAAAACATAGTCACAGCATATAGAAGGGAATCCCACATCATATATGGAGACAGATGCCAGAACCTTACCAGTAGGCCACAGCTTTGTGGCAATACATACATTACTAGAAATGGGTTAACTTAAGATAGAACCAGTCCCTGAAAATTGTCCTCTAACAACACATGGGCAGTAGCGTGTGTGCACTCACACATGCATACATGCACAACAAATAAATTCTCCTTCTAAGTCCTTATCAGCTACACGGCTTGCAAATTATTTTCTCCATACTATGTGCTGACTTCCTTTTCAGTTTTCTGATGGCCTCTTTTAAAGCTTAACTTTGGTGATGTATTATAGCACCATTTGTAATAGCAAAAAGCTGAAACTACTAAGTGGATGGGCTGAATAAACTATTGTTAAGTGTACACAATGGGTTCGCTCTATAGTTGTGAAAAGCAATGAGGCCTAGCTCTATATCCTATTAAGTGACTTTCAAGATATGCCATTAAAATGAAATAAAAAGATTTAAGAGCATAAGCAGAGGTTACTGTTTATTTAGTAAAGAGAAAAAAGTAAATACTTTTAAGAGATTGTTGTTTTAAAAACAGACTGGAGGGAGACAGAACCAAAAAAAGAAAAGAGAGAAACAAGGAAGGGGAGAAGAGGTGTGGAAAGAGAGAAAAATGATTCTTAAGGCTAGTTATAGAGAAGGAGGGAGCAAAGTTGTGAGGTCATGAGCCCTGTCTCATTTTATAAATTTGACTTTGAAACCATGCAATGATTTTATATTATAATGAAACAACAAAATAAGAATACAAAGCACAATGAAAATAATGAAGCTAATTGAATATGGAGATGGGACAAAACCCAACTCATGGCAATTATTCATGGCAATTATATAAGTAAAATTGAAAACTAGTCATTTGGAGCACTTGTTTAGTAGAGGCAATGTATTGGATTCAAGCCAAACCATTGGCAAATACTACATGCCCCAAATATGTAGTATTACTACATATTTACTTACCTTACTCAATTACTATATAGTACTCAGTTGGTAATTTGGAAATACATTACTAGTGAAAGATATCCTTAAAACAGAGAAAGCTATACTACAAAGAACCCGTTAAAAACCTAAATAGTTAATAATCAATTAACTATTGTTATTTGTGTCAGAAATTCTAAGAATATATATTTATGCTGAGACGAGCAAGTAATTAATTGTTGACAATGTAAGTAAACTATAAATATAAAATCAAAGAAGATAAAGAAAAATCCTAAAATCCTTAATTTGCATTGGAAATATCAGTTTGAATGTATCTTGTAATTTTTCTTTAAAATATATGCATATTTCCTAAGCTTGATTTAAGAGCAATAAATTTCAAGCTACAGATTGGGAGAAAATATTAGAAGCCCATATAGCAATAATAGATGTTTATTTAACAACAACACTAATATCTCAAAAGGTAACAATCAGATTTAAACAAGTAGAAGACCAATGGATAGTTTTCAAAGGAGATTACAAATGGCTAAGAGTCTATCAACATCCCAGACATTAGGGAAATTAAAATTAAAATGAGATATACTACATGTCTATTAAAAAGGCTAAAATCCAAAACATTGACAACATCAAATGCTCTGAACAACTTGAATTTTTATTCATTACTGCTGCCAATGCAAAATGGAAATGGGCCACCAAACACAGGCCTCTCAATGTGCTAGAGAAAAGGAGGCAGGAAGATGATGAGTTCAAGTTCTTTTTTGGCTAAATAGTAAATTCCAACTGAGTCCAACCTGGGATACATAAGACCCTGTCTCAGAGGAGGCATTCAATTTCTTATCAAGTTAAATATATATACACCATATGACCAGTTGAGAATTTATATGAAAGTCAGGTGTGTCAACATTCTTAAGAAGTGACCATTTTACTGCATTTTTTTTTTGAGATAGGGTCTGTAGCCCTGGCTGTTCTTGAGCCACTAAGTAGATCAGACTGTCCTGGAACTCACTATGTAGACCAGGGTGGCCTTAAACTCACAGAGATCCACCTGCTTCTGCCTCTAAATCAGGAATTAAAGGCATATAAAAATTAATGTTCAACTTCACTAAGAAGTCAGGGAAGTACAGATTAAAACAACCAAAGTGGGGATGGGGTTGGCTGGAGAGATGTCTCAGTGGTTAAGAGTGGTTGCTGCTCTTCCAGAGGACCCAAGTTGGTTCCTGAAATCACAACAACTCACAGTTCTCCTTTAACTCCATCTCCAGGGTGTCCAGTGTCCTCATCTGCCTTCTACAGACACATAAACACACATGCTAAACACACACGTTTACATGTAAATAAAAATTAAAAATAAATTTTTAAGACTGCAAAGAATTGCAGTACATCATCTGACAAAAATATGTAAAATTAAAAACTAAACAATACAAACATTTAGAGGTTAAAAAACATAAATAAAAATGCTTGTGGAAATGAAAATTATTGCTGTGCAGAGTCCACTAAAGTTCCCATACCGGTGTCATACACTCCAGTAATCATACTGAAAGAAATGAACAAGAGAATCATAGCAAGAGTATTTGTAAAAGCCCCAAAGGAGCTATCTATCAACAGTAAAATATACAAAGGAATCTAAATACATGGCATATGCATACAATGGAACATTAGCCACATGGACAATCTCACAAACATATTGCTGAACCAAAGACGTCACAAAACAAAAATCACAGAACATTTCCACATACAAAAGGTTCAGGTGAAAGCCAAAAAGTCAAAAATAAATCTTATTTTATTGTTTAAAGTGACAAAAGTCAAAGTAGTGATTATGTGTAGAGAATGGCAGAAGATTAAGAGGGAGGAAAGGGTCATATAATTCCACATAAAATACAAAATGCTCAGTTAAAATTTGATTTCTAAACAACAAGTACCATTTTAGTATAACTAGGCCTCAGGCAATATCCAGAACATTGAAAATGGCAACCCCAGTCAAGGGGGTCGCTTTCAGTGTAGAGCTAGTGCTAGCACTGCATTCCGTGATGTGCAGCTCATGACCATCAGCTCAGGAACACCCACTATGCATTGTTCTGCATGTGTTAGTCTTCCCAATGAAATCTTTTTAAAAAGCAAAGTACACTCTGTACTATGTTGCTGATTTTAAAATATCTCATCCAAACACTCTTTTTTCCTTCCCACCCTTAATCACTGCATGTGAGAACTGAGATACTTCTGCAGGCAGTGGGCATCAGGAATCAGAAGCATAGCAGAGCCAAAAGCTGAAGGCTCTGCTTACATTTTTTATTAAAATTACTTTTGCATAGCATGCTTCTTTATTTCTGGAATCTTTTTTATGCCCTCATTCTTGGAGCCTTTCTTATTTGGCTGACTTAATCTTACCAAACAGTAATGTTATGCTTCAGAGGCCAGACTCTTAACCTCCATCAGCCAAGAAATGAAATGCACAAAGCAGCGCTCGAAGTTGAATTGACTGGTGTGAGGGTTAAAAATCAATCTCAGATGGAAAAATCTACAAATACTGCTACTCTAGGGCCAGCAACTGAGATACAGACACTGCTCAGAATGTGTAGTCAATTGGGTGCACTGAATGCTTTGTAAACTTCGATCAGAGGTTTACAAACACCTCGATGGGCTCCATGTCACTCCTTTTCATCCGCTTTTACTGCCTTCTGATAAAGACACTGGCAAACCCAAGTAAAGGGCAGAAACTCCTAGAAACAAAAGCCTGACTAGTTTTCCTCCTGTTACATACACTGCTACTTATTGCCCAGTTCTTTAATGTTCTAGGAGGGTTATGATGTTTGGAGGGTTGTTTGTTTTGTTTTGTGTGTGTTTGTACTTTCATCCTGTACTCTGGGTTTAGGTGCCTGTCTCCATAGTGTGACAATAAACTTTATAGGCAAATGGAAGGCTTCCCTATCTGCCATGCCTCCTGGTGGATTCTTCTATTTAATAACAAATTTTATGGTTTTTTTTCCACCCAGAGTACTAAAGATAATAATTATACTCATTGGCTGTAAAGACCAGTTGCCTGAAAGAAAACTAGTATCACCACGAAGACCAGCTTTGGGCCTCAGTTTTCTCTACTCTAAATGAGAACAAAATGAGTATCTAATTCAAGTGGCTGTTGGGAACACCCACGGCGATTCTAGCACAGCACTGGACACACATTCAACAGTCCCTGGTTATTTTAGCATCACCATCACCAGCTACTTTGGATGGCCCTGCTACCTGTACTTAGATGTCATCGAAGGAAAACATTCAGATGCACTGTTAAGAGAAAGGAGGGGAGGGACCATGAAGTTTGGATTTGGGTGTCCTCAGCACACAGGAAAAAAGGGAAGGAGCTAGCTCTCCGTACGAACTAGGGAGATAAACACTCCTGGATCCTGTCTGAACCCCAGGATCTGGCCAGGACCTCGGGCATCCTGCCTACTCACATTGCGGTTAAAGCTGTTGCCAGGCAGAAGCGGCAGAGCCATGCCTGTCAGCGTCCGATGAGGATTGAAAATCCGACCACAGAGAGGTGGACAGGTTACAGCCTCGACCGCCGCTTGTTTGCCCCCAGCGTTCCCTGGAGACCGGAGGTGGCGTCACTGAGGGAGGAGGGGCTAAGATGGGCGGGGTAGGGTAGGGGGCTTAGGGCGGGGCTTAGGGCAGAACCAAGGCCTGGGAGGGGGTGGGACGAAGCAGAGGCCAGAGGCGGAGGCGGGGCCGAGCCCGCAGGGCCCCTCCTGTCCCTGGTCTCACTGCCCAGCCCACCCATACTAGCAGCCTAATCCAGACCTCACTGGTCTCCCTGCCCAAACAGTGAACTGCTGTTTCCACCCACATCGCTTCTGGCTTTCACTCCTTTTTTCTGGAGCTCATATTCTCCCATGAGAATTCTTGCCACAAAATTGTATACCATTTTGTTATTAAATTTAGTTTAAATGCCCAGAAAAGTACAGAAATTCGACGGACACCAGTGAGCTCACAGAGCTGTGTTGCATTTACATCAACCTTATTTTGTAATTAAAACTTTCGAGATAAACCTAAAATCATTCACAACCTACAGGGAAACCCATTCCAGCGGTAACCATGGCCTTCAATCCTTCCTCTTGATCATTTTATATATGAACTAAGTGTGGGAAATGTAAGGGCCAATCAGTAGTGGTAGGGGGAGGGTCAAGGAGCATAAAATGAGACTCTAACCTGGCATGGTGTCTTGCACCTGTAATCCTAGCACTCAGGAGGTAAAGATAAAATGATTACCTGAGTAACCCAAGTCAACCTGGGCAACACTGGGAGATTATGCCCCCCACAAACAAACAAATTCAAGACTGTTCCATCATGCTTCCAGATGCACATGATGAAAACCTACAGTTAATTAGTCACATCTCTGCTGTCTGTACACTCCGCTATGTTTATTGCTCCTCCTCATTCTGTTGAGATGCCCTAACCCCAATTATGGATGGCCTTATTCTCTCCCTTAGAAGTGGCAGTGGGAACAACCGATCCTGTTTGCAGGGCCTTCATTTGTGGATTTCAAAATGTAGTTGTTACACTCTTCTTCAGGAAGCTGCCTTGCCTTCCCCCCTCAGGCCATCAAACTCCCTGGCTAGGTCTAGAGCTCTTGTTGGCTGACTTTTCGTGTTTCTTCTACTGCTTTGCCTGGCCCTTCCTCTGCCCAGCTCCGAGAAACCTCAAGCTGTTTTTACCAGGCAGGCTCTGGTGGTGGAAATCACACCACCTTCTAGCAGCATGCCTTTCTTCCTATGCTTTATTGAGGTAAACCGTTCTTGTCTTCTGGGACTTGATTTACTGTGAGAGAGAGACACAGGTTTTGCCATTGCTGGGAAATGAATGTTCCCTCAGCTCCCTTCCACCCCTCCTCCGTCTGCATTAAGCATAATACTCACTAATTGCGCCTTCCTCCTCCTGCTTTGTAATCATGTGTTTACTTGAATTTTCTTTAAATGCCTGAAAATTCTTCAAAGACAGAGATTGTTCTTCAGCCATCTCCATCTTTATTTTCTGTGTTTATAGCGCTTACATTTTTTCTTGCCTCCCACACACGCTATTTGCCATGGGCATGGGGTCAAACCACTGAGTAACCCAGCCCCTGTTCTTTTCAGCTATGGGATTTATATTTGAGATCTTTACATGTTGACACATCCATCGGATGGACTTCATCTTATGTGCCTTCCGTGATTAGAACATAAATCAGTTTCCCATCTACTGTCATCTCCTGATGACAATGACTGTTTTCAACGTTTTACTAACTACCAACAATAAGCAGCGAGTGACCTAAATCTCTTCTTTTGTTTGGAGATGTTTTGTTTTGAGACAGTTTCACCATGTAGTTCCTGATGGCCTCTAACTGGTAGTCTTTCTGCTCCTGCCTCCTGAGTGTTGAGGCTATAGGTGTATGTCACCAAGGCCAGCTTCTCCTAAACGCTTCCTAAAAATACCTCCTTTTTGTTATTCTTTTTTATTTAAATAACTTATTTTCATTTATTTTACATACCAAGCAGTTTCCTCCCCTTTCTCATCTACCCCTCTCCCATCCATTCTTTCTCATCTCCCTTCAGTAAGGGACAGGACTCCCAAGGGCTTGCACAAAGCGTGGCCCATCAAGTTAAGGCAGGACCAAGCTCCTCCCCTTACCTCGAGGAGGGGCCAGATAGTCCAGCATGGGGGAACAGGTTAACAAAAGCCAGCTAGTGCCAGGGAGAGGTTCTGATCTGAACGTTAAAAGCCTTACAAAGAGACCAGGCTACAAGATGGTCACATACATGCAGAGGGCCTAAATCAGTCCCATTTAGGCCCCATGACTGTTGGTTTAGCATCCATGTTCTCCCATGAGCTCAGGTCAACTGTCTCTGTCTGTTCCCCTATCATGACCCCCTGGCTCGCACAATCCCTCCTCCCTTTCTTCCACAAGACTCTTGAAGCTAAGCACAGTGCTTGTCTGTGGTTCCAGTGCTTGTCTCTGCTTCCATCAGTTACTGGATAAAGTATCTCTTTATTGCCTCATTGATGGCAATTAGGATAGTCCCCAATCTGTTTACAGTAGGTCAGGCACCCTTTCTACCATGTCTAGGAGTCTTAGTTGGGGTCATCCTTGTGGGTTCTTGGGGGTTCACTGGCACCAGGGGTTTCCGTAACCCCAAAATGGGGCCCCTATCAAGATGTCTCTTTTGTTATTCCTTTATCCTGCCTCCAACCCACCTCCTGCACTCAGCCCACCCAACCCACTCCCTCTTGTTCCTATCCCTCCATCCCTCCCAAACCCCACCCCCAGTTTACCCAGGGAAATCTTTTTACTTTCTCCTCCCAGGAAAATCCATGCATCCTTCTTTGGGCCTTCCTTGTTATGTAGCCTCTCTGGGGCTATGGATTATAAGTCGGTTATCCTATCCTTTACTTTTAATAACCACATATGAGTGAGTATGTACCATCTTTCTGTGTCTGGGTTACCTCACTCAGAATGATTTTTTCTAGTTCGTTTTATTTGCCTGCAAATTTCATGAGGTCATCATTTTTACAGCTGAGTAATAGTCCATTGTGTAAGTGTACCATGTTTTCCTTATCCATTCTTTGGTTGAGGGGTATGTAGGTTGTTTCCAGGTTCTACCTATTACAAATAATGCTGCTATGAGCATAATTGAGCCAGTGTCTTTGTGGTATGATTGCTAATCCTTTGAGTATATGCCTAAAATTGGTATAGCTGGGTCTTGCGGTAAATTGATTCCGAATTTTCTAAGAAACCACCATACCAATTTCTAAAGTGGCTATACAAGTTTGACTCCCACTAACAGTGGAGGAGTGTTCCCCTGTAGTAATAAGTGCGGCGGGGCTGCGTCCCCAGCACCCCAGCCGCCTGCTAGCTCATGCCTGAAATAACAACACACAAACTGTATTCATTTAAACACTGCTTGGCCCATTTCTATCTAGCCTCTTCTAGGCTAATTCTCTCACCTGGACTAGCCCATTTCTAATAATGTGTGTAAGCACCCCAAGGTGCGCTTACCGGGAAGATTCTAACCTACGTCCATCCTGGGTCGGAGCTTCATCGCGTATGCCCAGGAGAGCGAAGCAGGGCCTCTGCTCCAGAGAGCAGAGCTTTCGAGTCTGAGCTCACTTCCTCTTCCTCCCAGCATCCTATTCTGTTTACTCCTCCCACCTATGTTTTAACCTATCAGGGCCAAGGAGTTTCTTTACTGCTTAACCAATGAAATCAACAGACTGATATATGACACTCCCACATCATTCCCCTTACTCCAAATCCTCACCAACCTAAGCTGTCACCAGTGTTTTTGATCTTAGTCATTCTGACAGGCGAAAGATGGTATCTCAGAAATATGAACTAATTTTAATGTACTAGAAAAGCTTCAACAATAGACGCTCAGCTTGGTGACACAGGCTTGTGATGCCAGCTACTTGGGAAGCCAAGGCAGAAGGAGCACAAGTTCAAGGGAGTTCGAGGCCAGCCTGGGCTATTTATAGAGCCCTTATCTCAAAATAAAAGTAAAAATGCATTAAAAAAAACAAGCAAACAAAAACAAAATAAAACAAAAACCAGACTAGCGATGTAGTTCAATGTGTAGCATTTGCCTAGAAGCACAGGACCACTCATTAGAAAATATTATAACTAATTCCCATTTATACTTCTTCCAAATTCAACTGTTTTGTCTCTTTGTACACTGGTTTTACCATACTGTCTATATTGGAACTTTCCTATTGTAAACCTGTAGATAAAACATGTCTTTGTCCCTGAATATTTCAGCACTATCTCCTAAAAACAATGATAGTCTCTTACTTGACTGGAGTGTCACAGTCAAAAACAAGAAAATTAGAATAATACCATTATCTTATATTGACCCGTCCAGCAGGTCCAGTTATTTCAGAATCCTGAAGGGGCACTACTTGAAAGAATCATGGGCAGGAGAGAGAAATGTGACCAAGCAAAATTCTGTTGTCAAGGTCTCGTTTATTGAAGCAAGCTTTTGTCTTAAATACTCCTCCAGTGAGGAATTGGGCAGGGGGAAGAGGGAAGGGAAGGAGTGACTGGGCAGCTCGGCAGCTAAGTTTAGCTGGAGTAGTTGCAAGGTCAGTGGTTAGAGCACCTGCTGTTAGCGATAAGTGGCAAACAATGGGGACACTCTGTGGTGTTACCCGGAGCTTGAGTCTCTAAGAATAGCACACAATGTTTTAGTTAATTTTGGTTTTTACCTCCTTAGGCTTATTTTTCTAGGCCCTGTGAGAAAGGAGAGGCCCAAGATGGGCCCTAACATTATGTAAAATTCAAATCTTGTTGACTCTCCCAATAATGTCCTCTTGCCCAGAATCTGATCCAACATCACACATGGCTCTTAGATTTCTGCATCATTATTCTCCTGTAATTTGGAATACTCTTCCATCTTTTTGTTTTCCTGACCTGACTTGATATTGAGAGGATAAACCTCATTATCAGGGGGAAAATGTCCTCCAGTTTATGATAACTAATATTTCCTTTGGGTTATGGCTTGGGACAGAAACGCCACAAAGAGAAAGTCTATGTTCTCTTAGTTCAGCAAAGGACC